ATCCAAATGCCTGTGACTATCTCCAATGGAACAGATTTATCATTCAAAGCACCACAGCCAGCATCCCTTTAATCTGTACTATCAATTTATACAGTCAATACGTTAGAGAGAGGGATCTCTAGTAAAATCAAACAGTGTCAAGTCCACACTTAAAATTTTGTCAAGGATGGCTTGGCAATTAAGAGCATTTGCTGCTCTTTCAGGGGACCTGGATTTGTTTCTTAGCACCCACATGGCAGCTCACAAACACCTGTGGCTCCAGTTCCAGGGGACCCAACACCCTTTTCTGGCATGAAAGGGCACCAAACACAAACATGATGCACATAAATACAAATACATACAGGCAAAATATTCATATACAAAATAAAAGTTTTATACATCTTAAATTAAAATTTAATTATATCACTTGCCCTCTTCCCTTTCCTCCCTCCATTCCTTCCATGTCCTCCTACTCTCAAACTGAAGAAGCTTCTTCTTCCCTGATTATTATTGTAACACACACACTCAGAGAGAGATATAAATGAAACCTACTAAACCTTTCTGTTTGTGTGTATATGGTTTCAGGGCTGACCACTTTATACTGGAAAACAAATTAGGGGGCTCATCCCTGGGAAAGGCTAATTCTCCCTCTTGGCAGTTATCAGTTGTCTGTAGCTCCGTATCCAAGAGTGTGACCCCATGAGATTTCACCCCCTTCTATGTTAGCAAGTCCACTGTTTTTGCCATTGTTCAGACCGTGTCTGGGCAGCCATTTCTAGGAAGGACTGTCTTACAGTTGACCTTCTCAGTGTTCTGCTCTTCTGTTCCCCCTGGTCCTTCAGTCGTTTAGTCCCAGATAAACACACAGAGGCTTATATTAATTCAAATTGTTTGGCCAATGGCTCAGGCTTCCTACTGGCCAGCTCTCTCTTAATTATTAACCCATTTCTATTAAACTATGTATTGACACAAGGCTGTGTCTTAGCCATAATGCTCCAGCAGGTTACCCTTTCAGCGGCTACATGGTGTCTCCCTTGAGACTCTCTGTGTTCCTCTTCCCAGCCTTCCTAGTCTGGTAGCCCCGTTTATACTTCCTGCCTGGCTCCTGGCCAATCAACATTTTTTCACCATCCAGTAAGAGAAACATATATTCACAGCATACAGAAGGACATCCCCCATCATGTGATACTCCCTGACCCATAGATGCAGGAGCTGTGATGCAGATGTATACGTTGGGGCTGAGCTCCTCATGATCAATTAGTCACTGCAATGTTCAGTTGTCTCCATTTACCTTATATTTACCTAAAATTATACACAATACATTATAAGTGTATATACATATACAATCATACACCCTTAAGGGTGACAATGCTCCCCACAGACTAACAAAAACCCCAGTGTCAGGGACTATAGCTGTTGTCCTTTGAGGCTGAAGGTAAGCCCTATTGCTGAAGATACCTCACACAGGATACAGGTCGAGAATTGTTGGAGCTGGGTCTGGCCTGAAAGTCTCTTTCTTGTGGTCTAGCTTCCATGATACCGGAACAAACTGTGCAAGCTGCAAAGGGAAGAAAATTCCTAACAGTCCTACCCAGCTGTGACACCGACGGAACACAAACACAAGCATAGCAAGCTATCCAGAAAGGTGGAATCAGTGGCACTCACACGTTGGCAGTAGCCAGCAGCTTGCCTAATAGGACTGAAAGCCCACTCGATAGGATGGGAACCTAACCAACTTCCCAGGGCCTGTGAGGTCATGCATCTTAGAAGAGAATCTGTAATTGCCATTTTGCTAGACCAGCAAATTCCTAACTTCATTCTAAATCTTATCCTTATTGCCACAGATAAGTATGACTATCACCCCTTATAAAAATAAAATTTTAAATTAATGAGCAGGGGAATATAGCTCAGAGGTAGATTGATTGTTTGGCATTTGCAAGACCCTAGGTTCACGTCCCAGTGCACCCTCCCCCAATACACACAAAGTCCCAGTGGGAATCAAAAATTGTGACACCCACCTGTAATCATAGCATTTGTGGACAAAGACAGGAAGATCAGAGTTCAAAGCTGGGCCACAGGACTGGACCCTGTCTCAAAAATCCAAATAGTCAAACAAAGCAAAACAAACAAACAAACAAACAAAAACCTCAATGAATTCACATTGTATGAAAAAAATCAGACTCCTTAGTGGTATACAAGCTTTCAAGATCTGATGCCAATCAACTTTTCTTGCTTGGTCTCAAGCAAAATGTCCCAAGACATCCCTTTCTTCCCAAGATCAAGTTACATCAAAATATATGCTATTTCCTTTTGACACTTTCCTGAGGAGGCATGTACAAACATCTATCTACTCGACCCAGAAACGAAACTGATGACAGACCCAAGTAATGATACCACCAACCTCCAACTTAATGAAATTGACCTTACTGGGGTTACTTACAGAATCATGGATGACTCAGAGTAGCTGCAACCTCCGTATGGTTGACAACTCACAAAAGCTGAAATCCTGGAGTCTGGCATTCTTCTCACAATTTGTAGACAGTCTGGCGGTCTGCCAGAAGAACTTTCTGAGTTTTCATTTTATATGTAGAAGTGTTGTGTCTGCATGTCTATCTGTGTACCACATGCACAGGTGGCGACTGAGGAGGGCATCAGATGCCCTGGAACTGCAGTTACACATTGCTGTGCACTGGGAATCGAACCCCTGCCTTTGTATGAGCAACAAATGTTTAGCGACTGAGTTATCTTTCTAGCCTCCAGATTCCCAAGACCTAGGGAATTTCTTTGAAGGGGTTTTCATTAGTAGGAAGTTGCTACATAGTACTTCTGAACCTCCCTCTGGGACTCTACTGTTTCTGCATAACCTGCTAGGGCAGGAAGGATGGAACAATGGTCTCTCATCTATCCATCTCCCTTAACATTTCCTATCCTCATTACAAGTGACCAGAATTAGCTATTAAAGTTAGCTACTAGGCACCAGGATGCTTCTTACTGATAGAGAGAAAACCCTGAGCTGCACTGAGGTCTGAGAGACGGTGCAATGTGGTTCCTAGGGTTGCCGGGAATACACCCCCCCTTTTTTTTTTTTTTTTTTTTTGCTTTTTAAGACTGGGTTTCTCTGGGTAACACCTCTGGCTGTCTCAGAACTTGATTTGTAGATAAGCCTGGCCTTGAATTCTCAGAGATCCACCTGCCTCTGCCTCCCGAGTGCTGGGATTAAAGGTGTGTACCACCACTACCTGACTTGTTATTTGTTTCAATAGTTCACTAGAAACTTTTGAGTTTGAGCTAAGTACATACGGACTCAGAATAAAGACTAGCTCTCCCAGGCTTTCTTACAACTATGGATAACCATGCCGCTTAGATATGGTCAATGTTATGTGATCTAACGTGGTATGTACATTCCTTATATGAACAACTTTTATATATTCCCATTCCCTTTCTTCCTGATGGCCAGGATATGGACCTGAAGCCTTGAGCCATGTGCAAGTTTCTTTAACTTCTTTAAGGATGAGAAAAACTGGACATTGGAAATTCTAAAACTAATTTAAACAATTTTAGTTTTATAAATCATTGCTTTATGTTTTCTTCATGCATCTCAACAGAAACTGGTACTAGAGCTGGGTGTGTGGCACACACCTTTATAAATCCCAGTACTCTGGAGGAAGAGAAAGGCAGAGCTCTGGGAGTTCCAAACCAGCTGCTCTACACAGTGACTTTCAAGACAGCCAGGGCTACAGAGAGAACCTGTCTCAAAAAAGAATGACAGTTGGCAAACCACTGGCTTCTGGTTTAATCAGAAATAAATAGAAAATTATATATTTTTTAAAATTGTTATCTTAAACAGATAAATTTAGGTTAAGTGTCCTTTTCCAATAACCCATTTTCCTGATTATTATGACAACTTTTACTATTTATGTTGGTAACACAAAAAGACAGTATGCAAAGCCGGGTGGTGGTGGCACTCACCTTTAAACCCAGCACTCGGGAGGCAGAGGCAGGATCTCTGAGTTAGAGACCAGCCAGGTCTTTAAGAGCTAGTTCCAGGGCAGCCCCCATAACCACAGAGAAAACCTGTCTCGAAAAACCAAAACAACAAAACAAAACAAAAAACAAAACAAAAAACCCAGACAGTATGCAGTCACAACCTCAGCATCATGCATTTGGCTTTAAGATCTAATACATATATGGCCTTCTTGGACAAAAATCCTTGCATTATAAATTGCTTACATGCCAAAGCCTTCATATATTAGCTCCTCTGTGCTCTTTAAGCCCTGTTTAATAACTAAATCCAAATCTCAGATGTCAATTTACCTTTGTTCTGAGGTTGCATATAATTTTTTCATTTCTGTGAGAAATTAAAGGTCTTATTCTTTAAGTTTTAGGAATAGCATCATGATGCACTTTACTCAAATATTTGAGCTGTGTGTCCTGTAGAAAATGCTAATTCTTTGTGGAGGTGTTCTTAGCACTGTCACAATTGTTCTTACCCAGAAGTGGGTGTCATTCTAATGTTGATATTATGAAAAGATAAGCATATGCACTTCCCTAGGGAATGACTCAGAAGCTCTGATCATTTATCAGTCTTTTATCATTTTGAAAAAAACAATGACATTTTACTATTGTCCTATTTTTGGTTGAAACAGGGTCTCACTGTGTAGCTCAGGCTAGCCTGGGAAACCTGCAATCCTCCTGTCTTAGTTTCCCTAGTGCTGGGGTAAGAACTATTCTACCACCATCCCTAGCTTCCACTTAAAAAGCACGTGAAGTAATTTAGGCTCTCGGAATTCCAAACTATAGGTCCAAAGACACAAAAGTTAACTGACAGTAATTTTAAATCTTACAAATGGCAGCCCTGGAAATGACAGTACACCGAGCATTTGCTAGAAGATGTGCTGAGTAATTGGCAAAGTGAGCAGAGTCAGTTCTTGTCAAAGATTTCAATACTACTAGCTGTGTCATTGGACAAGCAATGGTTTACCCTTAACAGACAAGTAAATAAAGCATAAAGCCAGGAAGCCTGTAGTTTAAAACCAGCTTTATTTTAATTAGCAACATACAAATCATTTATCTATAAAATAATAGCATCTACTCCCTAATTCACAAATGTTTCACAAAGTCAAAATCCTTCCCAAGAAAATGTGACTGAAAGCCAAGATATTACTAATATTTAGCCGAAGCTTTAACTCAAGAGATGAGGATGATGAATTAGAGAATCTGCCTTATTATACATTAACTGCAGGTCTTAGTTGTGCGGATGAATGATCTGGTTGAGATGAGCACTACCAACTTTCCACCTTACAAAAGGAGAGCTAGCAACAGAAGTTAAGTTGGCCCCACACAGGGAGAAACAACTTTATAAGAGCAGTTCTTATAATATTCCCGAAACAGAATTTACACTTAGGCCTGACCACTAAAGCCTGACTACTGTTAGAAGAGTCAGCAAACTCATTTCAACAGATACACTGTTGAACTGAGTGCTTAACAGATTCTTCACATAGCCAATCGAAACAATGAATACATTATCTGTGGCATTTTGTTTGTTTTTCATTTTATTTATATTTTTATTGTTTTTCATTAAAAAAAATCACTTTCCCGTCCTGGACCACATTCTTCTGTCCTCTACCAGAGTGTAAAAAACGTTAGCATTTCGTCACTAGAGAACAGAGAATAAAGAAGAATATGAATGTTACTGAATAAAGATTCAGGAAGATTAATTCTAAAAGAGTATAGAAAACTTTATATAGCATAAAACATTTGTATATGTACATCATTTGTCATGTATATGTATTATGACAACCATATGTATTAATAAACCTTCAAAAGGTAAGCACCTATAACATAACAAAATGCCAATTTTATGTGGTTTACTACTTCTGGACTTTCCCTTACATATGGTGACTGAAACAAACAAGGATAACTCACAGAGAAATACAAACTAGATACAGACACCATAGTAAGATGGCTATGTACACCATTCTTTAGGGGGAAAATTGAAGAAACACACTTTAACTAATGGCCCCAAATGCTACCCATCCATGTAAGTTCCTTAACTCTCAACTTTTCAATACAAAAATATCTTCAAGCTGAAAATCAAGAACATTTACAGTAACTTGGAAAATGGACAATATTTCAATACTACACAAAACAGTTCTATACTCAGCTTGAAGTTTTAAAATTCTTTGCTGGCACTTAACTTGAGTTGATAAACACTATAACTACTGGTCTCAATAAAATACTGCCTTTAGCTTATACATATTTTTAAAACCAATATTACTTCACAAACATTAAAGAATAAATCACTTTCTGCTGATAAACCTCTAAGATGAATACTAAAACTATATAGCCAAAATATTTTAGCGAAGCAAACAAACTTTTTAAGACAGTGCATGACTAGTGAAGAAAAATTTACATTATTTAATCATGTCCAGTGAAGAAAATGGTTGTTACTCCGAGTCAACAAAGCATTTAACATGTACAGATCAAAACTATGACTTTATAAAGCAAGTTACCTTTTTCATTTTTTGGTTTAGAAGGGTGCTTAAATTGGTGATACCACTAGAATGTTTTGGTGTTTTTCATTTTCAAGGTAAGAAATAGGGCATATTTAGCACATACATATTCTTAAATTTAAAAGTAAAAACTGAAATTCTATGAAAACAGTGGAATCCTGATTGTTAAAATTTTCTGTGACTGTGTAAGCCCACTGAACACATTATCAACGTGAAATCACTATTTAGTAACCTTAATAACATTTTCTCTTTGCAGAAAGAGCACACTAAATTTTAACAAACTGTAACTGATACTAAAAATTTACTTAAAAATGTAACATTTCATTATTTTGAGGTCCAGTTTTGCTAGTAACAAATTACAAAGTTAAGATCTTAATCCCAGCACTCGGGAAACAGAGGCAGGCAGATCTCTGTGAGTTCGAGGCCAGCCTGGTCTACAGAGCTAGTTTCAGGACAGCCTCCAAAATAATACAGAGAAACCCTGTCTCGAAAAACCAAAAAAAAAAAAAAAAAAAAAAAAAAAGATCTTGTAGCCCAAGGCAAAATTTAACTAAATTAGAAAAGTCAAAATTAACATAGTAATTAACAGCAACAACAAAATCCACTAAATGGTTCACTATGCATATTTTAATCATGGACATTTAGTACAGTAAATTATTGAAATGAATTGATTTGAGGTCAAAATGTATAAATTTTGTATACTGTATTAATATTTAAAATTGCTACCCTTTCTAAACCAAATCTCCACCAGTCCTAATCAACTTTGTTTTTTTTTTTTCAGGAAAAGGGGTATCATGTTAAGATGCAATTCATACAGCAGAAACATCTTATTGTCTCAAAATATTTACAAAGAACCCTGCTGATCTGGTGCGTTTCGCTGAGGTGCAACCTGAACCCAGACTTCATCGTCAGAAAACGAACTTGAACTTCCTGACTCGGAGTCCAGTTCACTGAATCCATCTAAGTCCCACTCAGTGCTAGACTCACTCCTTGCATCATCTTCCTCCATGATGAAACTCTGACCAGGCTCAAGACAGGAAGGATAAACTCGAGCACACAAGCAAATAAAGCCAGAGTCAAACTGCAAAAGGCCCAACATGGTACCTATATTGTTCCACTGGTCTTCCCTAGCATCATATTCATACACTGTCACACGGTTCTTTTTCCACTGTGGGGTAGTTGAAGTGATTAGCAGCAACTTTTGGTCATGATTGACGATCTGGTAGTTGTGGGTTTCCGAGTCCAGTGGGATATTACTAATCCGCCTCCATTCTCCTCTAGCTGGGTTGTAGACCTTCATGACTGGGATATCACAAATACAGTAGATTTCGTCTTTGAAGACACAAGCTTCTTGGAAGTCACTTCGTTTAAGAGATGCACAATTCAGCCACATATTATGGCTAGGATCATAGCAGAGCATGCGCTTACTGTTGACAGCATAAAGATAGTTCTGAACAACTATTAGTTCAAAGGAATAAAAGGAATGGGGTACGGGGGCCACCAAGGCCCACTGGTTCCTCTGAACACTGTAACATTCCACTTCCTTCAGTTTGACTCCAGTAACCGGGTCTCGCCCACCCAGAATGTAAATGTACCCATTCAGATACGCCACATCCATGCCCTCCCTGCACAGCAAGCGGTCTGCCAGTTGATGCCAGCTGTTTTGGGCTGGTTTATACACCCACAGGTCTTTCCTGGGCTGGGCAGCGAGATAGATGTCATGGTCTGGGGAGACACAGACGGCTGAGGAGGTAATGGTCTTAGTATGTGCTAAGCTGGTCAAGGGGGATGGCATTGTGTAAATAGCTCCCGAATAAGGGTCATAGCAGAGAAAAGGATCTCTGGGGTGTCCAAAAAAGATTACCATCTCTTTGGCACACATACCCAACCTTTGGGGTGGATTTTCTGCTACAGTTACAGCAGAGCTACTGCTGCTGCTGTTGCTGCCGCTGCTTTGGCTGCTGTTGGGCTTGAACACCACGGACTTGTACAGCCGACCAGCAAAACGCAGCTGCAGGAGGGCCCCTTCAATAACCTCCTGGCAGTACTTCTTGACAACAGGCTTGGTCAGCAGCCCTTCCAGGTAGTCCTGATCTTCAGCAGGGAAGTGCGCCCACCGCACACACTTGAAGACTTCCGCAGCACTGGGGCCCCGCTCTTTGGGAGCAGCCTCCAGCCACTGCGCGGCCACGTGGCACACCGTCTTCTCGCTGTCCACATCCAGGCTGTCCAGACGCAGGACGGCCAGCAGCTGCGCCAGGCTCAGGTCCGCCAGCGTCTCCTCCCGAACCGAGCCCATCCTGCTCAGCTGCTTGAAGTTGTGAGCTATGAAGGCCTGGGCCTGCGAGCGCAGCTTGTGGTGGTCGAAGGCGTCGGCAAACTTGAGGATGGCCGTGCAGTTGGTCAGGTCGAGCCTGCGGGCCAGGAAGGAGGCGCAGGCTTCGCGCACGTACTCCAGCTGCAGCATATCCGAGGCGGCGTACAGGCGCTGCACGTTGGCCTCGCTCAGGGACACGCGGCCCGTGTAGCAGTAGTCCACCAAGACCTCGAAGGACTCGGCGTCCACGTCGTGGATGGTCACGCTGGCCTGCTGGCTCTCGTACATGCCGCCCGTGAACATGCTCTTGAAGTAGGGGCACGCCGCCGCCAGCACGTTGCGGTTGCACGAGAAGAGGCGCCCCGTGCCGGCCCCGCTGCCGGGCGTCACCACCTCGATGGTCACATCGCACAGCAGCCGCGCGTCGTAGAACGACTTGAGCTGGGCCAGGAGGGCTGCAGAGTGGGCCGTGTCCTTTAACTCCTCCGGGCCCGTGAAGAAGGCCGACACCGAGGGCTTGGAGATCCTCTTGGGTCGCCTCCCGCCGCGGGGGCTGGAGAGGCGGCGAGAGCGCGGGGCGTCTTCCCGGGACTGCATGGTGGAGATGGCGGCGGGGCGCCGGGGACGAGAACGGCTGCAGACGCCCGGCTCCTCCTCACGCCTCCCTCGCCGACGCCGACACAGCGGCGTCCCAGGGCAGTCGGCTCGCGGCTGCAGTTACTCAACCCGGCCTTCGCCGCGGTGCCGCCTCCCTTTATCGCGTAGCCCGCGCCTGACTCACCGTTTCCCTTCGCGCCCTTTCTCCTCTGAGCTCAGCCTCACACGACCCCGGGCTCCAGCCGCGAGAACAGCTTCTGCCGCGCTGGCGGATACCGGTGGGTGCCCGGACGAACTACTCTTCCCAGGTTGCCTTTCGCGCGCCTCGATGCATGACGGGATCATTAAAGCCCCAGGGCCGAAACAGACTGGCCGAAGCGGCTTTGCGTCTTGGGAGTTGTAGTTCGGGTAATGTTTCTGTGGAGTCCTTTGAAAGAGGGAAAGCAGTGAGCATTCTGAATTAGAGGCTTTCGGGTTCAGCCTTGCCTAGTGATCCACGCCTCTCCTGTGAGGCTGAAGCAGAGGGATCTGTGTAAATGAGGCCAGGATGGTCTAAATAGTAAACTTCTGGATAGCTAGGGTTGTTACACAGAGGAAACCTTGGGGGCGTGTGGGGTCAACAACAACAAAACCTAAATAAATACATAAAAGAAGGCTTTCAAGTCCAGAGTAAAAGTACCCATTCTGTTTTTGATTATGAGACTGAAATGCAAAATCAGCAAGCATTCGTTTGTTTATAGATACCCAGCTTGGTGGGGTTGGGGGACACGCCACTACTTAGTGCTGATGGTATGTGATTGCTAGCTAGCCATTGCACACTCGTGAAGGTCAAAGGACGAGAACACGGGGGAGACTTTTCTCCTTCCACTATGTGGATTCTGGGAGCCAAACTCAGGTCTTAATGCTTGTTAGCAATCTCCTTTACCAACTGAGCTGTCTCACCCACCCTCCAGTGTATACTGGCAAATAAAAACACATGCAAGACGGCGCACACCTTCAATCCCAGCACTCGGGAGGCAGAGGCAGGAGGATCTCTGTGAGTTAGAGGCCAGCCTTTTTAGAACTGAGGGCAATAGCCCATTGAAAGCCTGCGAATGTGTCTATGGTATGGTGTACATATTTCAAACCACCAAATTCTGGGAAGTGAAGAGCGTCCATCCACCAAAGTGCATTCCTGTGAATACCTTTGGGATTACTACCTGCTGGTTGCTGGTAATGGAGTTTGATTGTAGAATGAGCAAGTGGGGCAATTTTTTACTATTTCCTTGACTTGTTGCCAGGTGATAGAAAAATTCTTCTTTAAACCTTTACTGTTAACATGGTGTTTCTTATAAAATCCTGAAGCTTCCAAGACACTTCCTATTAATAAACGATCAATCTCATCATTGCCTTGTGCCAGAGGACCTGGCAGACCCATATGGGATCTGATGTGTGTTATATAGGATAAGTTCTGTTTCTGATGGTTTCCTGTAATTGTAAAATCAACGAGGTTAATTCTGTGCCATCATGAACAAATTCTGCAGTCTCAATGTGCAAGACAACTCTCTCTGCATACTGAGAGCCCATAACCATATTCGTTGCATTGATTCTTTGTATTGTTTCCCTAGTTTCCACTTCATTGATTTCAGCCCTCAATTTGATTATTTCCTGGCGTCTACTACTCCTGGGTGACTTTGCTTCTTTGTGTTCTAGAGTTTTCAGCTGTGCTGTTAATTCTCTAGTGTAACTATTCTCCAGTTTCTTCATGTGGGCACTTAGTGCTATGAACTTCCCCTCGTAGCACTGCTTTCAAAGTGCCCCATAGGTTTGGGTATGTTGTGTCTTCATTCTCATTGAATTCTAGGAAGTCTTTAACTTCTTTTTTTTATTTCTTTTTGACTCAGGAACGGTGCAATTGTGCATTATTCAATTTCCATGAGTTTGTAGGGTTTCTGCAATTTGTGTTGTTGGTGAATTCTAATTTTAACACATGGTGGTCTGATAAGATGCATGGAGTTATTCCAATTTTTTTGTACCTGTTGAGGTTTCATATGTTGCCAAGTATGTGGTCGATTTTTGAGAAGGTTCCATGTGGTGCTGAGAAGAAGGTATATTCTTTTTAATTCGGATGGAATGTTCTATAGATGTCTGTTAATCCCAATTGGGTCATTACTTCTGTTAGACCCTTTGCTTCTTTGTTAAGTTTGTCTGGTATTCCTGTGTAGTGGTGAGAGTGGGATGTTGAAGTCTCCCATTCTAAGTGTGTGGGGCTTTATATGTGATTTAAGTTTTAGTAATGTTTCTTTTACGAATATGGATGTCTTTGTATTTGGGGCATAGATGTTCAGAATTGATACTTCATCTTGGTGGATTTCTCCTGTGATGAGGATATAATGACCTCCTTGATCTCTTTTGATTGATTTTATTTTAAAGTCTAATTTATTAGATATTAGGATTGCTACCCCCGCTTGTTTCTTGGGTCCATTTGATTGGAAAATCTTTTCCCAACATTTAACTCTGAGGTAATGTCTGTCTTTGAGGCTGAGGTGTGTTTCTTGTATGCACCAGAAGAATGGGTTCTGTCTTCGAATCCATTCTGTTAGCCTGTGTCCTTTTATGTGCGAGTTAAGACCATTAATATTGAGGAATATTAATGACTATTGATTGCTCATTCTTCTTTGATTTGGAATGGTTGGTGGTGGTGGAATTATGTGTGGAATTCCACCCCTTTCTTCTTTTGGCTGTTGGTAAGTTGGGATTATTTTTCCTTCCAGAACTTTCTGTAGGGCTGGGTTAGTGGATATGTATTGCTTGAAACTCATTTAGGGCCTCTTTCAATTTCATGAAGTCGTTTTTGAGGTCATTCTCTTCTGTTTCATTTGCATTGGAATGTTGGAGTCTTGCTGTAGTGGAGTCTCTAGAATCTGGCGGTGTCATATTTGTTTTTCTGTTGCTGAGTGTGTTTTTGTATTGTCTCTTTCCCAACACTTCTTCTAGTAGGTGCAGAAAGAGCCCCTTACTGGTCTGGCGGTTTGGGAACCAGAGTTCCCTTTCAGTGGGTACAAGCAAGTCCAATACTCTGGTAGTTCTTCTCTTCCTGGTCTTAGTCCTGGTCCTATGGGTGGAGAAGAAGACTGGGAATCTGGGGTGTGTAGGCTCCTATGTGGGTGGGTAGGCTCTAGCTGGGAGGGGAGGCTCCTCTGGCTGTCCCCAGGCATTCCCCAGGCACTGGAAGGCAGGCCCAGATACAGGGCCTGGTTTACCTGGTCCCCTGGTCCTGTTGGTGGAAGAGAAAGCCAAGTATCTGGGGTGCATGGCTCCCACCAGGAGGGGAGGCTCTGTTGAATGTTTGCATCTTTTAGACGGCATCTCAAGAGCCAAGACTTCTGATTTATGATAGTGACGTCATTGCCAGTGTCTAAAATACGGGTATGGTTTTTCATTTATTGATACAAAATTCAAGGTCAATTTGGTGATATGTATATTTCTCCTCTTGTTTTAAGTATTGTGTTTATACTGATCTTTTAAAATGAAATGTATAATTAAATACAGATTATAGTTAGTTACTTATAGTAGTCAGAATTTAGAGTTAGGTTAGTTAGGTTTTCTAGTTATACAGAAATATATTTGAGATAGATAGTCTTCAAACCTTTCAAAGACCTTCAGAAAATGGCATTTAAAATGGTTTAGGGTTTTTCTTGACAATGAGAAATGTCTGCTCCTGGCACACTAATTACATCTGAGAGGAAGATGGGCATTGAAAAAACTCATTATGGAGTTTAGTTTCAACATGGCAAGATTAGCTATTTGGGCAAGAAACTGCTCTTGCCTGGACTGTTTGACTGTTGTTCTATAAACTGGATATGCAGGACCCATAGGAAAGTGACTGCTGAACTCAAACAGTCCTTCAGGGTTCCTGATTCATGGAAGAGTCTACGAGACTTTCTGCAGGACACAGAAAAATGACTGACAGACTGCCAATGCAGATGGACAGTTTGAAATTTCCTGCTTTGCTGAGAAGTCTGCCAGACACACGATGGCCTATGGGCTGAAGATGGATGCCCCAACGTTACAGAGGAACTTCGGGTGACTGTCCATGTAGAGAGATGTCTCCGTCAATTCTAGTGTTTATGTATTATCCTTCTGTGGTCTTTGATGGAGTTGAAGACATGTAGTTGAAGTTATAGCGTTCCTTAGTTATGATAAAAGATAAGTTATATATGACTTTAGACTCACAAAGATAGGATAGATGATATTTTCTTTTTTTGTTTGTTTTTTTTTTTTTTTTTTTTTTTTTGTTTTTCGAGACAGGGTTTCTCTGTGGCTTTGGAGGTTGTCCTGGAACTCGCTTGGTAGTCCAGGCTGGTCTCGAACTCACAGAGATCCGCCTGCCTCTGCCTCCCGAGTGCTGGGATTAAAGGCGTACGCCACCAATGCCCGGCGATGATATTTTCTTTAAATCTTACTAAATGTTAATGGAAAAAATATTGAAACTATAGTTCTTACTTGATAACTGTTCTTTTATATTTAATTTGACTATGTTAAAGTCAAAACCTTTCTTTTTATTTAGACAGAAAAGAGATGATGATGGGAGATGTCATTCTGTAAATCTGTCTCAAAATTTTTACACTAAGTAAAATAAGGCAGATAAAGAACTGTTCATCCAACTCTGGGTGGTGGTAGCTTACTCCTTTAATCCCAGGCAGTCAGATCTTTGTGACTTCAAGGCCAGCCTGGTCTACAGATTGAGTTCCAGGACTGACTCCATAGCTACTGAGAAACCCTGTCTTGGAAAAAAAAAAGAATTTTCTATCCAGATGGTGGACTCCTAGCCCACTGAAAATAAGCTTCTGTGAACAACAGTAATGACAGCTGTCAGTCTTGGATGAAGATAGGTATTGAAAAGTTCAGGCATTACGCTGGCTACCCTGTTACCTGGCAGGATGCACTCAGGCAGCACTCTGGCCAGCCCAGAGTTCTGTGAGAACCACGCAGGTGCAAAGGACCCCTTTTTAAAGGACTGACCCCT